GGGGGGGTGTTGGCTGCAACATGAGTATTAAAATACATCAAAATTTAAAGTAAACATCACTTCAAAAGGGGCCTCATCTTGCCAGCTGTAATGTTAATTTGGCTGCCATACAGTACCGATGATGACTGATAGAATGCATGACATTCTTTCATGTATAACCCCTGTCGTCAAAAAACGAAGATTAAGGGGAGCTTGAACGTTTATTTACAACAGACCAACATCACTGAACAAGTGGAATACACGAACAACAAAAGCACCAACAGAAAAAATAAAACCTATATCAACACCCAAGGAACCAATGCTTAAAATGTAATTATTATTAGGCCTAGCTAGCTACATACCCCATTTTCTTCCAACAAAACTCTCAATCCAGGTTTCAATTTAATAACTTCAGAGATTAGGTACAATGCTCCGCAGATGAAAGGTGGCTTTTGGCAGCAGGTGATTTGCAATAACCTCTTCACAAACGCCTTTACTCTCTTCAGTGCCACATCCGCTTTCAAAGATTTGTAGAGAAGATTGAGAAACATTGTTTGTTTGGATCCTTGTGCCAATCCAGGATCCAGAAGTTTCCTGTTCACAAAAATCAATAATATTGTTAGAAATGTATGCAATCATTGCATCAGGCCTGGACAAATCTTACTCAAAACTAGGAGCCAGCACTACGCAACCTACATATGACTATATCGGTATCTGATTGATACCTAGTTAAGCAACTGTTAAAAAGGAAAACATTTGAGCAGTTATTAACTCATTAGAAAGTAAAAACGTCATATTCAAACAGTATAAATATGTCATTAATAACAAAACCCACAACAAGTAATCCATTTAGCTTCATAAACAAAGAAATCTACAGTGGATGACAATATATGGTGGCAAGAGACTTGGAACAACCTTCAGAACTGCATGAAAGGTGTATGAAAGGGAATTTATGTTGATTTTTAAAAGGCAAATAGTGGACACGCCAAATATTGGATTTCACATATTTCTTTTTCCCATTTAATGCACATTCTAGGATGTATTGATTATTATGAATTAAGGAACTCCAGGAATTAACAAAATTAACACCCCACACTGCAAGGGTTAACTGCTCTTTTAGGTCTAGGGGCCAAAATACAGAAGATATACTCACCTGATCATGGTCTTGCAGCAGTCAGTGCTTACCTCCCCCCCCCTCTGGCATGTCCCTCAGCATCCTCACATCTAATGCAGGTGAATGAACCTGGATTAGACTTTATGACGCCAGCAGGGCTTAGGACAGCACAGAGATGAAAAGGCTGCAGGGATCAGAAAAGCAGGATCTAGGATCAAGTATATATTCTTTAACCACTTGCTAACCGGGTGCATCAGGGCTGCGGTACTTTGACTGACATTTATTCAATCATGCATTGCTGTACTGACATTCATTTTATGCCATTTTTTAGGGAATGATAGAGCTTTCTTTTGGTGGTATTTAATCACCACTGGGGTTTTTATTTTTTACTATATAATGAAAAAGTACAGAAAATTTGGGGAAAAAAACCCTGTTTTCCCCAAGTTATAAAACAATTATTATTACCCAAATTTTTGGCTAAATATAAAAGACGGGGTCATGTCGGATAAATAAGACACCAAACATGTCAAGCTTTAAAAATTGCGTGCGCCCGCGAACTCGCAAAAACTACCATACCCAAAATTGGCCATAGGAGACGCTTTAAAAGCTTTTACCGCTCATCAGTTTAGTGTCATCAGTGATTGATGGCCCTAGAATTATTGCTCTCACTTTTTTTAAGGCATTATTAAAACATTTTTGCTTTAGCCAAGTGCCTAACACTTTTGCCATACAAACTTAAAAAGGGTCTATTTTTTTATCATTCTTTATTTAAAGTTTTTACATAGTATAAATCCACATCTGCATCTATCAAGAAAAACAAAGAAAAACATTCTTCCATCTGGACAGCTTATCCAACATAGATATTTCATCGTAATATATGCATTTACATGAATATCATAAAAAATTATTGTATAACATCTCTTCTTTTCTTCCACCAATTTAAATTTTAAATACTAATTCCTGCTTATGTCCCATCTAGTTTAGCTTAACTGCCCCCACATAGATCTATACACAAATTTCAACATAAAAAAACAAAACAAAAACAGGAGAAAAAAAAAAACACCAGAAAATCCCCTCTAAATCTATATATCTCAATAGTCCGAGATCATCAGGGCTTGAAAAATCCACTCGTCCGTGACGTTGTAATTACACGGCCGGCCGGGAGCTTTACAGTCAAGCGATCGGGCGTCTCGAGAGACGCTCCATCGCTTGTATCAGCAGCTGTCACTGCCGTTGCAGGTCCCGAGATCCGCTGTGCCCGATGCGGCCATGACCGGTGCGGCTCTGTGACAGGAGATCAAAGGGAGTTCAGTATACGAACTCCCTTTGATCTACTCTCCAATCCCCAAATGCAGGAAGTGATGTATATTACATCACTTCAGTGTCACTCTCCAGCTAGAGAAGCTGATGAAGCCGATCTCTGCTTCATCAGCTTCTCTGGGGGCCCCTAGGTGACATTAGGGGTCTTCGAGACCCCGGATGTCTCCATAAAGAGGACCTGTCATGTAAATTGGCTATCCCATAGGGGGCTTCTTAGTTGTGTGTAAAAAAAAAAAAAAGTAAATACAAAAATTAAAGAATCATAAAAAAAAAATAAAAGCATAACAATTTTGTTTAAAAGAAAACATTTTTTAAGTCCCCGCCCCCCACATACACACACAGATATGCGTTGGGTGCGCCTACTGGGCAAAGACGGTTGCGGCTATTGTGCTGCACGTTACATATCGTCGCAAACATCGGAGTGAGAGCAATAATTTTAGAGCCATTAAGGCCAGGTTCACACCTGGGCGTTTTATAGCGCTAATCAACGCGCTGTAAAAACGCCCAGCAAGTGAAATCCCATTATTTCCCATAGGCATGGTTGCCACCTGGGCGTATTTCAGCGCATTGGAACGCGTTGAAAAACGCCCTATGCCCAAAGAAGTACAGGAGCTTCTTTGGGGCATATTTCCGCGCGTATCCATTAGGATACAGCCGGATAGCCCTCGTAAACAAGCGTTTGATGCCCGTTTCGTGGACCGCAAATCGGGGTAAAAACGCGCGGCCCGAAGCGCGCGTCATAGGCGCATATTTCAATCACCGAGGTAGGAATCCAGCCTAAAGGAGAACTATGAGGTTCTAGCCGACCTGTGACAATGAGCCTGTCACAGGTCGGCTCAGTAGATCGGGAAGTGAGCGAACACATACCGGCGTTCGCTCACTTCTCGATCCTGTCACGGCACAGAGCAGTCACAGGGGAGGAACTGGATTCCCCCCTCCCCGATCCAATTTTAAGGCTTGACATGTTTGGTGTCTATTTACCCGACGTGACCCCGACTTTTGTGTTTTACTAAAAATATGGGTAAGAATAAATGTTTTATAATATAACGTAGGGAAACTTTTTTTTTTTTACATTTATGGTACTTTTTTCATTATATCGTAAAAAAAAATAACCCCCCCCCCTTGGTGATTATATACTTCTAAAAAAAAAGCTCTATCTGTCCCCAAAATTTTTTTACAAATTGCAAGGCTATAGTCTGGTCATGCTGACTGTTGACATTTTTGACTGACTGGTGAGACACCATCCAATTTTTCAAGCCCTGGAGATTATTATAAAGATACCCAAGACATCACCAAAGCATAATCGACACGTCATAAATTCCAACCAACATGCCCATATTTTAGAAAATTGTCCATATTGGCCTTTAGGAGGACAGAACCTTATTTTCCATATTACATATATCAGACATCAATTTTTTCAAACCACTGGTGTAGAGGAGGGATAGGAACCTTCTTCCAATACCGTGGTATCAAAGCTTTTGCAGCATTAAGTAGCAGTCGTCAGTGAACATTTATATCTAACCATGGATTCTGCAGTGCAATAAAAACAACAGACACCATGGGTCTGTAGATGAGCCCATCATTTTTTCAACATGAGTCCTCACCTGAACCCAATATCTCTGTATAATGGCACATGTCCAGCAAATGTGCGCCAATGTTTGTCCACATCCCCTCCAACATAAAGGGAAAAGATTATTTGGGCGGGCGGTGAGTGAGAGGCACGGAGGAGGTGTGGAGCATGGATGAGGGCAGGTCTGGCAGCGGCGAGCGTGAGGTGGGGAGGAGGTGGGGCGCGCAGCGTGTGTGGAGCCGAACAGGGCCAACCAATCAGAAGCCGATTAATCGATTATTGAAAAAGTTGACAACTTTTTCAATAATCGATTATAATCGATTATGTCGATTAGTTGTTGCAGCCCTACTCCATACATCCTATGCATTCTATATGGGGAAAGATAATGAGTAAGCAATGTATAGTTCATCTCTTCTGTGCTGCATGCTATCGAAGAGGCATGTGTTAAAGCTAGTACCTTATTTTTTTGTTCATCAGATAACAAGCTACCCAAGTCTCTCTCCCATCTGGTCAAAAAGTCAGGGAATTCCAATGTCCCAAATTCCAGCAAGATTTTATAAAAGTGGGAAATACACCTGGTAGGCTCACTACATGAGAAAAATATGGCTTTAATAGGACTAAGATCTCTTAAAGATCTTAGAGGCTTTGGAAGAGATACCAGAAAATGCGGTAATTATGTGTTATAATCCATAAAAGTCAGCCAATTAGAATCTAAGAAAGTATCCAAAGGCATTAGCACAGTACTCCTAAGCACATGATGGAGACGGGTAGGCTTGGCAATGTGCCAATCATCAAAATTCATATACCATTTACCCGGCATAAAATGTGCACGACCAGTCAGGGGTAACAGAGGAGAGTTGTATGGACAGCCAGCCTTCAACAAAGTATTATCCAACACCACCAGGGTTGACATCGTCAAAGGTGAGGTATCCAGGGCAAATCTCCAAAATCTTCTAGGAATCCAAATCACCAAATTAATTTTCGATCTACTCAACGTACTCTCCAAGGCATCCCACTGCTTTGTCTGACCTACATATATCCGATCCACAACCCAGGTAAACATCACAGCATGATAATAAAATGTAATGTTTGGAACTGCCAAACCACTATTTACTTTAGAGTGGACACGGTTGTCTAGTCCCATTACCCAATGCAAATGATTCACTTAATACCCCGTTAATATGCACCTGGGACGTGAAATTTGCATATGGGGCTGCAATACGTCGATACATCGTAGGACCAATACCCATATACAGCAAGATGGCAAAAAGATACTCCCAGTCCACCCTGTCAAAATCTTTTTCAGCATCGGTTGCCAAAAGGAGAGTGAGCTGGGAGTACCATCTCATGTATGACATCAAATAAATAGTCCTCAAAGAGTTATCACTCGCCTCCATACCCGGTATAAAACCCGTCTGGTCAAAATGTATACAGCACAGT